AGCAAAGTAAACAATATCGTCATGCTGCCAAGATGTAAATTAACTCAATCTTTAAGAAAAGTTCAGTCATTCAGAACTTCATAAAAGTACATTTCCCTAAGCATAACACATGAATATGTCATTTTTTATTTTTTATTTTATTTCAGACCAATACAAGAACCAGCAACTTAGAAAAAAGTTCAAAAGGATGGGAAAATAAACTACAGAAAACACCACACGTTATCGGAGAATAGTAAGGCTAATAATGCATGCCTAACAGTTAAGCAACCATATACAACCATATATTTTTAATACATATGCATAGTTTCAAACTGAAATATTATATAATTAGAAAAGCACATATATTAAAATATATGAACTTTCATAACAAAACTATGCACTTTTGTTGAAAAAATATGATAGGTTGACCCGCATAACCATACAGTTCTTAACTTCTATTTCATAATAATAATATGATATCAGGAAAGTCACAGGGATAGTCAAATGTTGTCAAATGTCAATAAAGCGAAATAAAAGATCCAACTTTAAGCCTGACAACAATTCCTGAAACCTTCAAGTTTGAAGAAACATTTTCACATACAGTTTGGAGCAACGAAAAATGAGTATAAACGGAACAAAAATCCAATTTTTCAGCCAAAATAAAAAATACACGAGCAGTTATTAAAGACATTGAACATAATGGAAAATCAAAACCCAAGAAACTCCATACATTCTTGAAAAATTGTAGCAACCCAGTAGAATGTTGAGGGTTGAGTTTGTATGAGACAGTAGCTGGAATCAAGATTCTCCTTTTATTGTACTTTAAATGGACCGTAATCGATAATGATTGGTACACGAATGACGAGCAAAGCAACTTTATCTGGATATGGAATTTTACATGTCGGTGGGCTTGACATGTTTGGGCCAATATACAAAGTTTGGAATCCTTTCGTGGGGCCGAAACAATATGAGTACATATTTTAAATAAATTATATTATATTTTAATTTAAGTGGAATTTCCATTAAAGTATAATACTGCATTTATATTATATTTGATAAACCTAACTAATAAGCTAGTTTATAACTTTTAAATGAATTTTGAGCTTATATATGGTAGTTTATAATTTATGGCTAAAAAACGAACTTATATTATAAAAGTGATAGTAAAATCAATCTTATTTGAGTACATGAATCTTATATAAACTAATCAAATAAGTTATAAGCTAGCTTATATGCTTACCAAACACAATCTTAATGAAAATAAGAATATGTATAAATCTCTCTCTCTCTCTCTATATATATATATATATATATATAATTGCTAGCAAAACAATTAATAAAAAACTTTTTGTTTTTTCGCCTTTTTTCGTTACTTTTGTCTTATTCACAATTATATTTCTTATTTATTCTATGTTATAATTGTTACTATTAACTAATAATGAAGGCACATTAAATGTTATTCTAATCTAAAGCTTTTTTCAAACTATATATTTAAAATTGTTATTTATTTTTTTTCACCTCATTAAGCAAGTTTTTTCATTAAAATTAGTTAATTAATTTTATGGCATAACCAAACTCTTTAAAGTTTTATACACAGTTGCTATAATAATAATCTCAATATTTTTTATCTAATTAATTGTCATAATCAACCAAGATTGCATAAATTTAAGATTAATATGTAAGTTAATTAATTTACATTTATATCGTCATTTTAGTAATGATAAATTTCATAAATGTGATATGCTAATTATTTAATTTATGATTTTTAAATTTTATTTAAAACACACATCCACCCTATATATTAAATCAAAATGTGGTGAGCCTAAGTGACAGGCTTGCATGCTTTGGAATCATACATGTCAAAATATCATGTTTTGTATTTAGGTTCGAATAAAATTTTTGGAAACAAAATTGGCTTGCAATCAACCATAAATAATTATTTCATCTTACATTATTACCTTTCATAAATCTCTCTTTCATTACCATAAATTTATTTCCTCCCATACTTAAATCTCTTTTTCATTACTTTTTTCTTATTTAATTATATAATAATTGTTATAAATATGTATTTTTTTATTTTTAAATCTTTATAATTTTTTTGGTATTTTATTTTTTGTATATTATATCTCAAAATAATCATATTTTGACATTCGATTTGACACCCATATTGCATGTATAAAATAAAAAATAATTTTATAAATAAAATTACATTTATTAAAAAAATACTTTCAAAAATGTAAATATGATTCAATAATACACCATAAAATAATTATTTTAATGCATTTTTTGTAAATTTTAAATGAAATAAGTAAATTAAGTACAAAAATATGGGCTCCATTTTGAATTAATTACTAATTTGTTAGTTATTCATTATTTTATATATTCCTTATACATAATTTTACAATAAAAAAAATTATTTTAATTTTTCTATTGTACAAATATTAATATATTTAAGTACCCGTGTAATACACATGTATCGTACTAGTTTGTTTTGTATTTAAAGATCATACATATTTTTCTTTCCTTATTTTATTTTACCATTTTAAAAATCACTTGAATTAACAATGTTTCTTTTATTGTATAATTGAGTTAACAATATTTTATATGATAATTAATTTTGTTATATTCTTTTATTTGATAATTGAGTTAACTAACACCATCTACATTATTTTTCTATATTCTTTTATTTGATAATTGAGTTAACTAATACCATATCTACATTATCTCTATTCTTTTATTTGATAATTGAGTTAACAATGTTTTTAAATTTTTAACGAATATATGGTAACAAATTTGTTCACACTCCAAATATTGAATTGAATTCGAAACGGGATTTTAACATCATATTCTTACTGGATATCTTCTATTTATTTTGTATATACTACAATACGAAATTCTTTTACTTTTTTTTTTTTTAAATTATTTTTCATGCACCCGTGTACTGGGCGTCATACTAGTTTAAAAATTAACGAGAAACATAAACTAGACAATAGACTGTAAGAGGGGTGTATTAAATTAGGATTTCTAAGGACTTTTAAAGACTTTAGAAATCCTGGTGTATTCAATTTAGATTTGTTAAGACTTTTAAAAATCTTGGGGTATTCAATTGGGATTTTAAAAAGTCTTACAAAATTCTGAGGTATTTAATTTATTTGACACTAGGATTTGTTATGGCTTTTTAAGATTTGGTGGGATTTCTAAACAAAAAACCTTATAGGAAATCCTAGTTGAAATTCCACCTCCAGACTTAAGATTTCACGGAATTTCTCCAAAATCTGGAAATCTTAACAAATCTCAAATCTTAAAAAGTCTTAAAATGTCACTCTAAATCCCAATTGAATACACCCTCCTTTCGTATATCTATAATTTAAAAATTATAAATATAAAAATAAAATAAGATTTGAAGGAAATTTCTGTAATTTTTATAGGAAAGAAATGGACGTAAGTTAATGGACTGGAGGTGAATTATCACGAGCTTCAATTGTATCCTGTCCAAACCCATTATGACAATCTTCTACAATCGGCCCAGCCCATCAGAACTACGACCAGTTAACATACACACCACGGTCCACGGCGGCGAGGCGGCGGCTTTCATTTTTTTTTCTATAAATTTAATTAAAATCAAATTACATATCATCACAGAAATTTTCCGGCGACCTTCCGGATTCACAGCAAGTCAGCAAACATTCACGGTTCACCGGGTAGCAATACAATGGAGGATGATGCCGACGTATACGACGGAATAAGGTCTCAGTTCCCTTTGAGCTTCGGGAAACAACTGAAATCTCAGAAGCCTCTTGAACTCATCCACAACGCCACCCGCCGGACCACCGGTGCCTCCGCAAGTGATTCCGCCGGTGGTAAAGCTTCGGCGCCCGACAAAACAAATGCGCTACCATCTCTATCCAAATCCTCCCAAGATTGGATAGATTCCTTCAAAAGTTCTAACCCTAAAAATTCGAAGAGGGCTAGCGATGAGGATCGAGTGATTGGCCCTTCCCGGCCACAGGTGGGTTTGGAGGAGGAGGGTGATCGGATGGTTGGACCGCCTAGGCCGCCTCCTGGTAGTAGACCTGAGGACGAGGATGGTGGGCCTGTAATCGGGCCACCGAGACCTTCTCCTAATGGAGTAGAGGGCGACGATGATGAGCTCGTGATTGGGCCGCCTAGACCACCTCCTGGTGGAGATGGGTCGGATGATGATGATGGGCCGGTTATTGGCCCTCCCAGGCCACGTCCAGGTGCGGTAGAGACTGATTCTGAGGAAGATTTGGATGAAGAAGACGATGATTCTGGACATCGTATACCGTTGAGCAATGAGATTGTATTGAAAGGGCATACCAAGGTAAAATATTCTTTTGGGATTTTACCATTATTAATTTAGCTTGATGTCTGACACTTGTTACTAGGTAAATCTCTGAAGACTGAATCTTTTGAACTTCTGATCAAGTCATTTTTTATTTCACTACAACAACAACATACCCAGTACTAACTATATCTAATTCATGTAGCAAGCATGTCATGTAGTTATCAGTATTGTATCTTATGTTGGGGGTAAGTTCTATCTTAGAGGTCAGAAAAGATTAGAATCATATTGATTTAGAGTTTGGATCAGTTTTCAAGAAAGTCGTTTGCCATGAAGTATGGTTTGCCAAAGTTTTCGAACTTAATTGTTTAATACAGTTTGTAAATTTTGAAGTTTCTGAATCATCATAAAGGCGAAATATGAATGTTTAGTCAGTCATGGCTAACCATGGGACTCGCTTCACATTATGACCTTCATACCTATTTGGATTAAGGAAAAAGTTATAAGCTTGTTTGATAAAACAACTATGATCGAACATGATGACTTTTCTATGTTAGTTGCTATGAGATTTTGTGATGCCTGCCTGGATTTTTTTTTTCCCCCCTAATTTGGGTCATAACAGTCGTCTTGATTTTCCTTCTTGGCAGGTGGTTTCAGCCCTTGCAGTGGATCACAGTGGATCTCGAGTATTATCTGGCAGCTATGACTATACGGTTCGCATGTATGATTTTCAGGGCATGAATGCTCGTCTTCAGTCATTCAGACAACTCGAACCATTTGAAGGTCATCAAATTCGTGGCTTGAGTTGGAGCCCTACTGCAGATCGGTTTTTGTGTGTAACTGGTTCAGCACAGGCTAAGGTGATTCTACAACACCCATACAGTTTTTGATTCTTTGCTTAGACTTTAGCATGTTGGAGTTCAATTGATATATTTGCTATCTTGCCGCAGATTTATGACCGTGATGGACTTACATTAGGTGAGTTTATCAAGGGGGACATGTATATTAGGGATCTTAAAAATACAAAAGGCCACATATCTGGATTGACTTGTGGAGAATGGCACCCTAAAGCAAAGGAGACTATCTTAACATCATCCGAAGATGGTTCGCTAAGAATATGGGATGTAAACGACTTCAAAAGTCAAAAGCAGGTGAGTATTTCAATATTTGGAAGTTCTTAAAACCATCAGGAAAGCAAATTATTGAATATGTGGTTAGCTTTGGCGCCTGCTGTTTGCCTGTGAAGTTGATACCTTCCGATCAGTATCACTTCTATCTGGAACTCACAAGTAAGAAGTTAGTGAAATGTCAATGTCAACAATATGAAAACATGCATGAACTTGGATGAAAACATGATTCACCACGAGTTAGAAAAGATATAAGATGCTTAATCCACATATATGAACAGTAACAGCTTAGTAACTTAGCAATGTGAGACAAACACAAACACAAACACAAACACAAACAAGCACAGACACGAACATGACTTCTTATCATCTAGTAACATTTTGCTTTTGTTGGTTTGTGAGAAAGCCATGAGCTATGATTTATGTGAATATCTTTACAACT